CAACCTATCGGAAATGGGACGGTCTCAAGAATCTCCAATGTCATCAGCAGATACACAATCAACGGATTTATGCCCAGCTCACCTGACGGACCTGGGACAGGCGCTGATTGACGACCAACATTGGCCAATGGAAGCGCCGTCGCGTTCCGTTTCTTCACTTCTTCACTCGATACTACCGATTAATCCTGCAGCCAATGTCCCCGACCAGAAAATGATAGACTCAGACGCAGACCGATTCTCGCATCTGAGTATGAGTTCTACCTTGGGGTACCCTCACCATGGCCTCCAAGAACCCACGACCTATCTGAGCGAATCTCATTTACCCATCAATCCGGCATTTACGGAAGACGCCTTAGGCGTCCACATGACAGGAAGGGAGTGTTGAGCCATTACAGGTAGTGCCACTTGTTCATAGTAGTCATCCATGACTTTTGAGCCATGGGGACTGAGCAGTGCCGCTCCTGCTATTTTCACTGTACAGTTAGTTCTTTTGAAGCGTTGCTCTACGGAGTATTCAGCGGGCATTACGGCGAATATGGAGTTGGATGATTTCGGGGTTTGCTTTTTTCTTTCATCTTTGTTCTATCTTTGGCTTGATCTACTACACGCTGATCATCCCCTCAAAAGCCTTCACGCAGGATTTCACTACTGCAGTTGCGATTACAGTCTCGGGAACCCAGCTGCCATCAGAGCAGTGGGGATTTTTCTGGACATGGCGTTTTGTTTTCGTTTCGTTTATTGCTATCTGCCTACCTACGTGCCTGCCCACTAACGACTTACGACCGGATGGATATTGTGACTTTTTGAACTTTGCGCCGTTTCAATCTTGTACACTGGTTTGTTAATACTATTCTAAGCAGCAACTGTATTAATCTGGAAGGACGAACTATTTGATTGGCTTCTCTTCCCATATAAATAATACATAATATCTAGTAGTAGTATGCAGCTGTAATACTCTACTCTTCTCTTCATACATACATATATTCATCATCGTCATCGTTACAAATACCCTCATCACCAAATCAGCCGACTACTTAGTAGTACTCTACCGACCCAACCACTCCTCCAAACTCCTCTGCCACGCCCTCCCCCCATCATCACCACCCAACCCCCGACCAATCAAAACAATCTTACACTGGTTCTTCCCATCCGCCGGCTCCGAATCCCTAATCTCAAAAACATCCCGCACCGCCTGAATAATCTTCGTCGACCCATCACTCAGCACCAGAATCCCCTTCAACCGATGGATATCGAATCCCGTCGGCCCAGATACTTCCTCCGCAAGCGGCATCACAGAGTCCCACAGGACGGATTGAAGCCAGGTGTCCACGCGGGATACCTGACCTGGGGTGATGGGGAGTGTAGTGAGGGCGATGGTTGAGATGGACTGCGAGTAATCCATCCATCAGTAAACGATCGAACCAAGGAAATGAAGGAAAAGGGGTCTATACCGGATCCATATGACTATGTCCCTTCTGAGCGAAATCCAACGAATCCAAATGATCATACGCATGCAAATCCAGCACTACGCCCTCTATCTTCGGCGTTTTGCTATGATCCGTGATATGGATCTTGGCTGCGCTGTTGATAGCCGTTACGCGGTCTTGGACTGTGGCGAGTTCGTCCGCGGTTACGAGGTCGGCTTTGTTGATGATGATTACGTCGGCGTGCGAGATTTGCATGTGTGCCATGGAGAGGACGGGGCCGGTGTGCGTGTGCTTGTGGTTGGAGTTGGGTTCGGATTCGGCGGTTCCGTGGCTGGAGACGGTTTCTTCGGGCGTGGGCTCGTCGAGCAGGTGCAGGATGTTTTTGGCGTCGACCAGTGTGACGATTCCGTCGAGGTAGATGCTGCTTCCTAGGTTGTCGTCGACCCAGAAGACTGGGGCGATGTTGCCTGGGTCGGCGAGTCCGGTCGTTTCAAGCAGGATGTAGTCGAAGGCACCGCGGCGTTCCATTAGGGATTCGATGGCCATGACGCCGTTGTCTCTGGGGTTTCAAGGTTAGATGGGTGGATGATGGGAGGTAGGTTGGGGGATGGGGGTGTACTTGACGGAGCAGCAGATGCAGCCATTGCCGACTTCCATCCATTCGGTCACTTCTTGACCGTCTTGGTTGACGGTTAGGGGTTTCTCGATGTCGGTTGCTGGGTGGGTGTTAATCGTGGCTGTTTATATAGTTGCATGGTATATGGTTTGTCTTACAGTCACCGAACTCTACATTATCTTAGCAATTTAATAGTCTTGTAGCTATAGTGGTGGTCACTCACCGTTCATGATCACGGCAATCTTCTTGCCATGCTTCTCGGTGAGGATATAGTTGAGGAGGGTGGTCTTGCCGGCTCCCAGATAGCCTGACACGAGGGGACATGTTAGTTAGTGTGGATCTACGGGAGATTTTTTTTTTTTCTTTTCTTTTCTGCTGCTGGTCTACAAGGGAGATAGATCTGCATGTGTGGCATCACATCATACCAGTCACAAGCGTGATGGGCACGCGGTTCTGAGGCGGCGTGTCTAGTGACGTCGATGGCGGGGCCACATCGGGGGCGGTCGAGATGTCAACCAGCTGGGGTGGGGCATCGTCGTCGTCCATATTGAACGCTGTGTTTGTGCAAGCTGGGGAGAAAAATGACCGTAGTATAAACTAGAATATAGTTAGAATGCAGAGGAATGCTAAGACATGGAGAATGTCGGGGAATGACGTTACCCCAACAGGAACCGCTAGGGCTTAGGGCACCGGCAGTCATTTGGCAGCAATGCAAACCAGACAATCGCGGCCAGTCCCCGTCCGGCCAGCTCCATCTTATCTCCTCATTTCAGCTTGTTGTTGTTCTTCTCCAATTCCCTTTCGTCTCTCCTTTACATTCCTCCTCTTCATTCCCTTCTTTCTTTCTGATTTCACTCATTTGAGACTCTGCGAATCCTCTCGCTATGGCTACTGCGGGAGTCTCGCAGGCCACCTCTCCACGTCTGCCTAGTCCGCCCCCGTTCACGGAGGTCCAGATCGGGCCCAAGTCACCCTCGGTCGGCGAGTCCTTTGACCACGAAACGGAGCAATTGCTGGGCGCTTCGCAAACATCGGAGGATGGCTCAACCAGGAGGATTCGCCCGGGTACTAGAGCTGGAGATATGGCTGTTGGACCGCCTCTGATCCCTCTCTCCCAGGTACAGTTTCCGTAAACAAAGCACAGCTGTCTCCGAGTAGCTCCGCTGACCCAGCCACCCCTTTCTGCGATAGCTCGATTCCCCCTTCCAACTCCAAGAACACCTCAAGGCTCTCTACAATCATTACACACGGCCCGAAGGCTCTGATACAGTAGTTCCCATCAGTCGGGATGTCGCCATGCAGCTCGCAGAACCTCCGGACGGCGTCGACCGGTCGCTATGGCTCTACGAGCTGTGTCGCTTCCTGACTATGAAAGTCAATAATCTCATCATCGCCTTCTTCGCTGACTCTCCTCCCTGCTCCTCCCAGACTTGCCCCGAGATGCGTGCATCCGAGTGGCAGTACCTCTGTGCCGTGCACGATCCGCCCAAATCCTGCTGCGCCATCGACTATTGCTGCCATACCCTCGATTGGGCCACGAATATCCTTACGTCGCCTAAATACTTTCCCAGCCGACTGACTCTCGGCTCGGAGACGGGCGGCGGCGCACAGGCCAGCATGAGACATTTGACCAACATCTTCCGAAGGCTGTATCGCATCTTTGCGCACGCCTGGTTCCAGCACCGGGAGGTGTTCTGGCAGGTGGAGGGACACGATGGGCTATATATCTTCTTCAAGACGGTCTGCGACATGTACAGTCTCATTCCGGAGGATAATTACACGGTTCCTGCCGAGGCGGAGGGCGTGGATGTTCAGCAGCCGGCCGCGCCGGAGCACACGGACAATCGTCGGATGACAATCTTGCGCAAGGAGAACGAGCCGTTGTCGCTGGAGAGTATGGAGCCAGCGTCGATCAGCACGGGGGCAACCACGAGGCGTCACAAGAATAGCCCGTCGATCAGCTCGAGCGTGACGACCATCAACGAGGGCGCAGAGGACGACGAGCAACCGAGGCAGCAGGCTGTAGCGGCGGCAACGGCGGCGGTTGCAGCTGCGAATGCCGCAGCGGCTGCTTCCGCTCCTGCTCCTGCTCCTGCCCCTGCCCCTGCCCCTGTTCCCACCCCTGTCCCTGCACCGAAGGAGGTCGAGCCGACACCAACGGCCGAGGAGCAGCAAAAGTCGGAGCCGGAGCCGGAGCCGGAGCCGGAGCCATCCGTTGACGACAACGGAGCTAAGGTCACTGTTTCGGAGGTACACGCTGACGATGACGAGGCTACCCAGGAGACAACAGAGAAGCCGGAAGAAAAATCAGAGGAGAAGCCAGAGACAGCGGAGCCCGAGGCGGAGCCCAAGGCTGAGGTTGAAGCTGAAGCTGAGGCGGAAGAGCCGGCCAAGCCTGAAAGCGACGCCCCTGCAGAGACAGAGGCGAAGCCCGAGGTAGAGGCCGAAACGAAGCAACCGAGCGAGCAAATTAGCGAACAGGAAGCGCCAGCGCAGGAAGCAGCGCAGGAGGCGTAGCGACGAGCAGATTCCTTTCTACTGATTTCTTTTTTGACATGATACATGATGGCATGTGTCGATACCACGGTTGTAATATGTGAGCATGTTTGTGGGGAAGGCTCTGATGTAATATACGAGCGAGTAATGATACCCTTATGAGTGGATTGGACTGCTATATTTGTAGTATAGATGTAGATGTAGATGGTGGTTGTAACCAAAGATGGTATGGTATGGTAACTCCGCCTAACTCCGATGATGTCGATAGCGATGTTCTCCACCGCAAGTAGTCCACCCCATCGTCACCTTCAACACAACCAACTCTCTTTTACAATCAATTGCACATACCGCCACACACGCCTCACCTTATACACATACATATATACCCTCAAATACCCTCCCACATATATACATACATGTCCACCCCCGCCCCCACCTCCACAACAACACCGACACCAACAATGTCCATCCCAACCACCATAACCCAAATCCTCAAAGCCGGACCCATCCACTTCGGCCCCTTCACCGTCACAACCCAGGTACACCTTCCCCCCTTCCCCATTATATACACCCACCCTCAAATACTGAAAAGAGTATAACAAAATAGGTCTTCCACCTAACCCCACACAGCTACGCCCTCGTAAACCTAAAACCCATCCTCCCTGGCCACGTCCTCATTTCCCCCCGACGGGTCGTTCCCCGCGTGACAGACCTCACTCCGACCGAGACCTCAGATCTCTTCCTGACCGTGCGGCGCGTAGCGCGCATGATCGAGCGTGTATATGGAGCGTCGAGTCTGAATATCGCTATACAGGATGGTGCGGATGCGGGCCAGAGCGTGCCGCATGTTCATGCGCATGTGATACCCAGGAAGAGGGGGGATTTGGATAGTAGGGGTGGGATGGATGCGGTTTATGAGATGTTGGATGGGGAGGAGGGGGATTTGAGGGATGTTTTTGCTAAGGATGGTGAAGAGGGGAGGAGAACGAGGTTTCCGAGGGTGGATAATGAGGAGAGGGTGGCTAGGTCGGCGGAGGAGATGGAGGGGGAGGCGTGGAGGTTGGCGGGGGAGATGGAGAAGGAGGATTTAGATTAGAGAGAGTGTATATTATGTATGTATGCTGTGTTGTACTTGTATAGAGGGTATGTGTTGTGTGTGTATGTGTAGTAGGTCTATTGGAGCTATTATCTAATGTAAACACTCCCCCAACGCCTCGCACGGAGTGTAATGTAATATGCACAGTATCCGTATCATGGAAAAGAAATAAACAAACGAGACCCGAAAACCCCCATTCTCGTACCATCCACGGTCGTAATCATCACTTTAACGCCGTACTCTTTATCGTACTATGTGTCACATCTGATCATGTTCATGCTTATGCCGTCGCCTTGCTCTTCCAGAACTTCTCGCGCTCCTGCAGCACCGTGGCCGCCCATTCCTTCGTCTCCGGCAACTGCACCTTGTTCGCAACGTGGCAGAACTCCGTGAGGTCGATGTTGTTGGCGCGCTCGTACTCCACCATCTGCAACAGCAGCTCCATCTTGTCGACGTCGTGGACGAACTGTGCCTCCAAAGTCTCGTTGGCCTCGTACTCGTTGAACACCTTCAGGATCTCCTGTCCGGTCAACATGCCACCGGGAACGCCGCCCAGGAGGTTGTTGGCAATGTAGTCCATGACGTCGGCTTCGCGACGCGCCTTCTCGGTCTTGTCGACCCGGTCGACGGGGGTGATGTCGCCGACGAGGGATTCGGCCATGTCATGGATCAGGGCCATCTTCATGCAGTGGGGCAGGTTGAGGCGGGATGCCAGGGTAGGCGGCGCGAGCATGGTCATCACCGACATGCGGTACATGTGGTCGGAGATGGATTCGCCGGAGTTAATGCCGAAGCGGCGCCATCCTTCACGCTTGGTGGTCTTAAGACGTTCGAGGAGGTGGAAGAAGGGGATCGGAGAGGCAGAGTTCTCCTCTGGGGGGTGAGGGAGGCTTGCCAGGACTGGTTGAGGAGCTGAATGTTAGCTGGTGGAGGGGAATGGTGGAGGAGGGGTTAGATTCTGCTCACCGGACTGGGTGGTCCAGAGGGGATCGGAGGGGTTTTCGGAGCCCATTTTGTTAAGGAGAGATTTGGAGGGAAGAGTGAAAGAGAGGAGTCAAGGTAGAGAAAGAAATTCAAACACGATGAGCACGAACAGCAGAGGAGAAGAAAAAGAAAAGAAGACGAAGAGGAGAAGGAACCGGAGGAGAAAGAGAAACTGCGGGGAGAGAAAAAGCGGTCGAGCGGATTGGTTGGTTTCAGCCAGCCAGCGGATCCATCCATTACTTGCTGCTCTTCATTGTTGATCTCCAGCTCTCCGTTGTTGTTACTCCCTCTCGTCCGTGCAGTTCCTCGACTGGTCCCTCTGTTCGGGTATGTTTCAATAATTAGAATGCTATACTACTCTCTCCTCTAACCAGGCATCAGATGTACCATGCAGTCACGAACCCCTCGCCCCAAACCCCCGAACTGGTCCCCTCAGCCTCCCCTCTCCGTTTTCGTCCGCAACCTTCAACTCCTTCAGCTCGATCGCCATGATGACTGGCCTCGCATCCCTCTCCGCTCCCTCGCAGATACGTCGCAGAACCAGCGTCAGCGTATAAGGTCTATAGAATGGGCTCTCTACCACCTGGTTACTCTTTGGGACCCCGACACCGCCCGGGATGTATGTTCCATCCCCTCAGTGGCTTTGATGCCCGACTGACGGCATGCAGAAACTCCGGCCCTTCTTCCCTCCGCTCGAGCCCCTGCAGTCCGTCAATCTTCGTGCTGCTTTATTCCGTGTGCTCTCCGAATTGAAGAAACAGGGCGAGCTCGGCAGAGAAACCATTCTTCGCAAGTCAATGCTGGATGATTGCAAAGGAGAGAAATTCGAGGAACTATTGGCCGTCTTCTCCACTGCGGTGCTGCGGAAGACCCTCGCCGCTTCCTCAGATCCGGCACTACAAAATGTAGCCATGAAGCTTTCATTAGCTTCCGGGCTGACGCGCGAGGAATACCAGCTCATGCTTCCCCTCGTCCTTGCCCATCGGGTCTCCCTAAACCAAATAGGCGAGCGTCGCAACAAAGCCCGGGACACCCATGAAAAGTTTACCCAATTGCTAGAACTCAAGAAGCTGCAGCTTGACGAACGAGCTAAGGAGAACCCTCCCCAACTCCCCGACACTGGCGCCGACATAGATGCGCTGGCTCGCGACCTCAAGGCTAATTGGCTGGGGAGTGAGGACTGGGCAGATACCCTTGTCAACGGAGGTGCACAGGGCAGCAGCGACGCTTTTCTGGAACTGCCGTTCGACATCGCATGGGCGAGAGCAAAGGAATCCAGCGTGGATGGTCTCCGTGCGAATTCATCACCGGATCTGCTAGTCGATCTGGAGTCTCGCGTCTTCCGCCAACGTGCCCGGCTGCAGCGCTGGCGCCAGTACAGTACCTCTATGCGCAAACATGAGCGGGTACAATCTACAAGCTCAACCAAATCTCAACCGCTCATCTTCCGAGAGCACCAAGCACTCACCGTCGCCAGCATCTCCAAAGCCGTCCGGCAGCCAGTGGAACGCGCCTCGCCCAAAGCAGACGACCGGGCGTTGCTCTTCTCCATGAATGAGGCCATTGCCCGGATCAACGGCCGACCCGCAGCGCACCGTCATCGCCATACTCATAGCGACTCGAAATTACGCAACCCTGCAACAATATCCTCCAGCTCAGCAGCCGGGAGCAACAGATCATCTCCCCAGGCCGAAGACACTACCCGCTCAACCACCACAAGAACTTCAACACCCTCCATCCCAGAACCCCAGCCTAGCGTTCCCTCCTTCTCAACGACCGAAGTCCCCGAAAAGGACCCTGCTCCCCCTCCTGAACGAACTAGCAGGTTCACACTCGTAGAACGAACCCGCAAGTCGATGTCCCTCATCGTACCACCCACCCAACCCAGACCAAGAGAAAGTTTCCGGTCCCACCGACCTCGGCCTTCTTATCCCATCAACCAGTTCGAGACGCCCCAGAGATCACACACCATCCCCAGTCGGGCCTCTACGCCACGCGACGAGCTCTTCGACGAGGAAGCGGACTACGCCAGCGTATTCAAGTCGCGGCCGCGTGTGGCGCACAGTCCGGTCGCCTCTCCCGCAGTACACATCAGCCCCATTGGGGATTTCGACCTGAGTCCGGACGAGGAAATCGACCTGGATGGGGGAGACGAGGAGTATGTGCAGGATACTCCGTTGGTGTCGAGACGGAGAATATTATGATTGTTACGTCGGTTCATGTTTCGTTTTGTCTTTATCTAATTCTTATGTGTGATGTTCTTTGGGAGACGATACTACTGACCTCCCTTATATGCCCATACCTACTACATACGATTAATGTCTATAGATCCTGGAAGAAAGCAGTACACGATACAGCAATTGAATATTACTTTAGTGAAGTACGAATACACCATTATCTTGCTTTTTGCCATCCCTATCCTTGTCATTATCATCCAGTACCTCCGTCCCTGTGCCAATTACATACCACCAACGCCAGACATGATTACATACAGACAGTCATACACACATTTGAAACTTATCAGAACAAACCACTATCTATCGACGACCACTCCTTCTCGTACTCCTCCGCGTCGTTGGCGGCGGCGGCGGCGGTGCCACCGGCTCATATTCCGACTCGGACTCTGCATCTGATCCCTCAGAATCCGGTATCTCTACCGGGGACGAGAGGTCTTCCGAGTCAGAGCTCAACGAGATCGGATTCTCCACCTTGCCATCGTCATCGTCACCTTCTTCTTCGTCATCACTATCAGCAATCTCCGCATCAACAGCCTCCGGTGTGACAGGCTCAGTCGGTACATGTTGGTGCTGTTGCTCGTGATGATCAACAATCAATCCCCCATCATCATGGTCATCTCCCTCCTGGCCAGGAAGAAGGAATCCACCACCTCGATCTACATCCTCACCCTCTTCATCCTCACCAGGAAGTAAGAACCCGCCACCATGGACTTCGTCGTCGTGTTCATCCGGAGCAGGAGCAGATGCAGACGCAGACGCAGAAGCATCCTGATCAGGTAACCGACCACGACGATTCGTAAACGGATTATGAGCGTCCCGCTCATGATCAACCCCCTCGTCTGCATTACCACCATACTCCTCCTGCACGCGCTGCTTGATCCGTAACCCGAAGAGAAACTTCCGCCAGGTTTGTAGAATACGCGCCTCGGCTTTGCGCTGCTCCCGTTTACGTTTCTCCGCGTCATCCGCTAACCAAGCGTCTTTGACGAGGTCCTCGTTCTCCTCTGCCACAACCACGCCCTGAATAACAGGGACAGCCATCTTCGATCCGAACTCGAACCCCGTGACTGCTTCTGCGTAATCGACGCCGAGTTTCTTGCAGACGCGCACAGTTCCAGACCAGGGGATATGGACTGCGCCGCGGGGCACCATGCTAGGGACGAAGCAGTCGATGTTTCCGTATTCATTTTTGGGGATGACGCCATCGCAAATTGGATCGGGGATGATGTATTCCGTTTGGTGGATAGCGTAGAGGCCCTGTTTGGGCTTTTCGCCGTTCTGGCGCTCGAATTCGTCGACTTCGCGTTTGCGGAGGAGAGTGACGGCGCGGATGGGCACGCGTTTCAGGGGCATCTCGCCCTCCTTGGGTCGCCGGCCTTCTTTGTGCCAGCTTTCGGCGGATAGGCATTTCAGGACGTCTTTGCGTCGGAAGACTTTCTCTTCCTTGGCTTTGGCGCCTTTGCCTGTTTTGAAGGTGCGGACGTGGCGTGCGCCGGGTTTGAGTGCTTCTTCGCGCCGGAGGAAGCGTTCGAGGACGAATTCGGTGGATGTGCGCAGGCTCTGGAGTGTGTCGCCTTCTTTGCCGGGTTTGCGTTCGGGTTGGTTGGGGAGGAGGTCCTTGGTGTCTTCGAGGTCATCGACGGCGGTGCGTAGGGGTGTAGGGCGTTGGTAGACGCGGAGGATTACGCGGAACCAGTCAATCTCGTAGAACTTGCCTTTGCGGCCTGGTATGGGGATCTTCTCGACGGGAATTCGGTAGCCTTTGGTTTTGCCGGGCCAGGTGCGACGGCGGAGATAGCGTGTTGTCACGTCTTTGGCGGTTTTGTCGGATGAGTAGGCCACGACGTAGCAGATGACTTGCTTCGCTTTTTCGGCTTTGCCGCCGCGAGGTTCGAAGGCTGCTTGGAGCTCCGGGGTCGTGGCGACAGGGTTGCGGAGGATTAGCGGGTCGACGGGGATGATTTGGTGGGTGATGGGCGAGGCGACTTCGGTCCAGTAGATGGGAAAGGGTAAGTCCTCGTCGTATTTGCTGAAGTATTTGCTGCGGGCGGACTTTGTGTCATCTTCACTGCTATCGGATTCCATGTCAATGGCGTCTTCGGTTTCTGCGTTCTCCGTCGTTGGTTCAGTGTCTGCGCTCGGCTTGGTAGTATAGGTCTCGCTCTTCGTCCAGCCGAAGCCAAGGGGCTGCAGACTGGCGACCAGTCGGGCTTCGATATTGAGCGCACGCAGCAAAGCCGTAAACAGTTGGGCTCCCACGTCTCGAGAGCCCTGCATGTTCTCTGCAGCGTGACGGAACTCATCAATGCTGGCTATCCTCTCGCCGTGCTTTTCGGGATCGAGATCGTCCTTGTGGAATGATTTGATTTGAGCCTCCAATTGAGCCATGGGGCGGTAGCCGTGTTTCCGTAGGCCAGGGGCGGTGATCTTGAACTTGCTCTTCCAGTAGGCGGCGAGGACCTTGAGAAGGATTATTATAGGGTCACCGCTGCTCATATCAGGTTGGCCGGGTTCAAGTCGCGACGAGCCTTCAGCCCAATCCCGTTCTGATTGACGACGCTGTTTCCCTTTTCCTTTCTTCGCCTTTTTCTCAGGAGGCGGCTCTGGAGCCTCGAGACCGGATGCAACGCGCCATTTCTTGACCTCCTTGTGTATGGGTTGGGGTAGCTTGCGGCGCAGGATCTCGTGGAGCTGGGAGTCGTTGGCCCAGACATTGCGGATGGCGTTGTGGTGGAGCAGAAATTGCACATGTAGACAATGGGTCTGGATGCGGATCTGGCGTTCGATCTTTGACGGGCCCTTTTTGCCTTCGAGTAGATCAGTCAGGTGAATCTCGTTCTTGTCTAGTGTCAACTCCAGGTCCTGGTGCTGGTCGGGGTTGAGGATGGAGGGCGTAACTGGGGTGGCGTTGGCATTGGACTCGATGGCGTCTTCCCAGTCGACCTCGTCGGAGTCGCTGCTTTCCTCATCCGATCCATCTGGTACCTGGGGCGTTTCTGTCTCTTCGGGGACGTCACTCAGGGACGACTCGGTGTCGGTGTCTTCGATGACAGCGGCGATGGGAGGCGTCGCATGACGACGTTTTGCGGCGGGCGGATCCTCGGAAGAGAGACGCTTTCGGGGGACGTAGGGGGGCATGCAAGCAGCGGAAAGCAGAGGACTAGAGAATTGGATTTAATCTAGAGAATAATATAAGAAAGAAGAAAAAATGCGAAAGAAATTGGTGGAGGGTTAATGAGGGAGAAGTTGAAGGAAGGAGGAAGTCGAAGGAGAAGTTGGCGCCATCGAGGCTCGGCTTCTCCGCGTCTCTTCCCCATCTTTATCTTTCCCTTCCCCCCCACATCATCGTCATCCTCCTCTACTATCCGTCCGCCTGACGAACCATCCTATCCTACTACTCTTTCCAGACTATCTGTAAATATCTTCTATCACCAATACGATCTCAAGATGTCTGCTACGATGGATGCCGCGCGCCGCTTCTTCCTGTCGCCGCAGTTTGCCGTGGCGGGGGCCAGCAACGATCGCAGCAAGTTTGGCTACAAGAGTAGGTCCTTTTGCCATCACTTCGCAGGCCGTTGCGCCGGCTGACCAGCAGTCTTTGCCTGGTATCATCAACACTCTCTGCCCGTTACTCCCCTCAACCCTCGCGCCCCGGAGATCGAGCTGCCGTCGCAGACCTACAAGACGGTCCCATCACCCCGCGACTTGCCCAACCCCGACCAGACTTCCCTGTCTATTGTGACCCCTCCCCCAGTGACTCTTGCCCTCCTCAAGGAGGCTCACAGTGTGGGGATCCCTGCTGTCTGGCTACAGCCAGGCACGTATGATAAGAGTGTGTTGGACTTTCTCGATGGTCATTTCGCAGCAGCGGTGGTGGGAGATGGTGGTGTGGGCGGCGAGGGTTGGTGTGTGCTGGTGGATGGTGAGGATGCATTGCGAGAGGCCCATCGCGAGTGGAAAGCTCAGCTGTAGTTAGACTTCATATGAACTAAATAATTAGGAACAATAGTAATATATTGTTGCGGTGAAGAAAAACAATAATAATAAGAATTATGGGGAATGAAGAAAAGTAAAAAAGAAAGAAAGAGGGAGGCTGGCGGTGGCTCTTCTTGTTGGGGACAATCCCGTGTTTTTTCTCCTCTTCTTTTCTTCTTCTTCTCTTTTTCCTCCTCATCTTCTTTCTCACCTCTACAACTATCTCCATCGCCCACGGTCTTTTGCTCCATCGTATGCAACCTCCTGCATCTCCTGTCCTTCCCAGCCACTGCTCGTCTCCACACCTTGAAGAAGGATGCCAGCCAGTCCATTCTTCCTCGAGTCCCCCATTCCTCCGCAACTCGATCTGGCCGGCGCTCCATCACAGCTATTCCAAGTTCCGCCCACCCCCTCAGCCTCATCGGCTTTGTATCGCTCGATCTCTATCCCCAACCGCAAGAGATCCCGTCTAGAAGTTGATCGTCGTCCTTGGCTGGATGTCGACACCCCCTCTAGTCATGTCGCCTCTGTGATCTCCCCCGACGATCTCCTCCTTGGTGTGGAGGATACCTCCGTTGATCAAGTCTATCGCCCCAACCGTTATCGCAAGCCTGCTCGATCTCTCGCTCTCGATGACAGCGTTGAATCTCTCAGCGAAACCGCGGATATTCGCCGTAAACGCAGCCGCTGGGACCCGTCTTTGATCGCAGCCTCTCCCACCGGTCACGATGAGAAAATGACGATCTCGACCACGACTATGACCGCGACCGCGACCACGACCGCGACCGCGGCTCCTGCCGTCAATACTCCTATTGCTTACCCACAGCCTGCTCCCGTCCGCTGGAGTCGAGCGGTGCTAGGCGTGGTAGGCAAAGTTTGGGACTTTTGTTGGAGCGGAGCTTTCCGAGGGTTTTATGCAGGCGGTGGGCAAGGCTATACCATGACGGCGGAGGATGCACAGCCCCAGTTGGCATCCCCATCGATCGAGAAGGAAAGCATCCCAACTTCTCAGCGGCAACAGGGTTCTTCTAGCCCTTTTTCGGGACAATTTCCAGAAGATGATCTCAAGCACAGTTGGGTGATCGTGTCCGCGCGAGAGGAATTTATGGACGAAGCCAGTCCTTCTCAGCGCAGACGAGTCCATCGTCGGACCCCAGCACATACCCACTCTCGTCGGCGGTCGCAGGGCAAGCGAACGCTGATTTCGCATGCGCCGTCTATGCCGACGAAATCACAATTCTCAACACCAGCTAAGCCGCGGGAGAGCCCTGTGTCTGTGGAGACGCAACGCTACATGGCGCAAAAGCGCCGCATGGAGCGTGAGGAGGATGCCAGCCTTGCCCGGTTGAACCGGCAGCTACAAGCAATGATCAAGGAAGGAAAACAGGCACTGGGGACGCGCGTGGAAGTGGACGACCTGGACATGGAGGATTAATGCGCTTTTCTCACTTTTACCTTTTTTTTACGACATGTGTGACACAAACCCGATACCCTTCGTTGAACACCTATATGACGATACTTGACGATTGGCGACGCTCGTTACGACTACGACTCATGAAACCAACCGATAATGACTGGCGTGGATCTTTATTTTCGAACCGATTGCGCGTGTGATACGATATTGTTATAGTTAGCTACCATTAGCACAAAACAGAACCTGAACCAGAAACCATGAACTTTGTAAATGCATCAATCATTCATCATCTCATACCCCCTTCACAATCCAACTACTTCTCAGCCCCATCCTGCGTTCCAGCCCCTACACCCGCCGAATCCTCAGACCCGTAGATTGGATCAGCAGGACCATCCCCGTTATTATCATCATCAGCACCAGGTCCCTTATCATCACGAGCCGGAACATCATCAGGATCCTCATCACTGGGATCCTGAGTATCCTTCTTTGGACTAGGATTCAAAAACGGCAGGTGCACGCCAGACAAGAACCCAGAGAGTCCACCATCGTTGGCTAGTCCGTCGAGGAGGTTCTCGCCGGAGAGGCGCGCCGCTTTGCTTGTGGACTGGTTGGTGAATTTGTTAGCTTTGCCTTTCTTTTGTCTTGATCGCTAGTCATGGTGTGAAGTAAGTTTGAGATAGACATACAGGAGTCGGCATCGCCACCACGCCCATGACAAGGGTAGCGGGCACAACGAGGGCGAGGAACTTCATTGTCTTTGTTTTGTTCTCTGCTTCTGCGTGGGATATGAGATCCAAGGTGATGAACGAATGAACGAATGAATGAATGAACGACTGATCGAAAGAAAGAAGGAAAGAATACTCAGTAGGAGGGAACGGGAATAATACCCGCTATTATATCCTCTGTTCTATCCAGATAATCTCAGTAATGTAGTAGGTAAATAGATATCTGGCATGCTACGCGTCAATATCCCATCCTTCCTTCCCTCCCACCCTGCCCCTTGATTTGGTCGGCGGGCAAGCGAGCGAGCGACGCGGTGTCCTGCATTCCTTTGCCTGACAGTCTATCTACTATCTAGTAAATGTATGGGCTGCTGGCAGGGGGATTAAACATAATACTTACTGTCTTTTACTTAACCCACCCCTTCCTTTTAAAATAAGGCTTGTTTGTTCTTAGCTCAATAATAGAGTTGAGTACAGAGTAGCTAGTATACGAGTGGCAGACAGGATATTGTTTCTCTCATGTCTTGGGGTTTCAATCCAGGTCTCAGGGATGAGTTCAGTTCAGTTCATGTGTTCAGACTACTCCGGTAGTGTAAGGAAGGTAGGTAGGGTTACGCGGTAGGGATGAAAACGAGCCCAACATTTTTCAAAGTCCGACTCAGTCAACTAATTGTTCATGGGTCATGGGGTCTGTTCGGATGATTCCGATTGTTGTTAAATGTCGTGCTTGTCATTGTGCCTGTTATAAAAAGTAGTCGAGAAATGAGGCGCATATTTGTGTGAGGGGTAAAAGAAGGCAAAGGAAGGGGGGCAAAAAAGGGCAAAAATTTGACCTACGCAGGATTCGAACCTGCAATCTCTTGATCCGTAGTCAAGCGCCTTACCATTGGGCCAGCAGGCCAGTTGATATATGTTTGGGCTTTATTTGTGCTTATAAAGCTACATATTGTGAACTGACAATGTTTGACTGTTCGATGGTAGTTGCTTGAGATGATGCTTTTTCTATTTCATCACCGCTGTTGTTGACAGACCAAAGTGTGATTTTTCCTTAAGTAGTGATTCCTCTCCGAGGTGTAATTCTTGTAGGTGTTTGCAGTATTTACCTTGTATTGAGGAAACGAAGACAGCGATATGTAACATAGTATTGGATAACCCATGTCCTCCGTGCTGCACATTTTCACTTCGGTGCTGAGTATGTCCATGCAGGTTGAAACATAAACATCAATAATCGTAAAAATCCAACGCTAACCAAACGCCATCGCTAAGCTCACAGTAGTAGCAAATAAACAAAAATCATGTCATCCGGGGCTGAAACTTCGGATTTGTCCGGATTCTCTCACCATACTTGAGTAAGTAAAGTGAAGCCGGGACAAACAAAAGTGCAATAAAAGCGAGCAGACTGTTCCCCCATCCTAGTCCGAGGGCATCGTACAAAGGAGTGCCCGCCAGCGGGATTGTAGCCCCAAAGAGGCATCGCAGAGCCAGCTCCGCTGATACCGCGCTGGCAGCATATAGAGTATATGAGTCAATCAGATACACCTGTGTGACCAGATGAACAAAGAAGATGCCTGCGCCCACGAAAAAGGTACCAGCAATGGGTACCATCCAGTGCAACCGGTATTCTGCGGCCCAGCCGTACCAAAAGAGACCGATCGGCACGAGAATGCATCCCACCACCAAAGGTGGAAGACGATCTTCGGGCTTCATCTTGCCATGAATCTTTTCCTGCTTCTTGAGGTATCGATCGGAATAGTATCCCACAACGACCTGTCCAGAACAGAACCCAAGACCCAGTCCCAGATAGCCGAGACCTGCTTCTCCGGGAGTAAAGCCGTACACATTCTCGAAGACGCTCGTAAACGTCGTGAACAGTGTGTACATATAGCTGTATGTGATGGAGCTGTACAATGAAACGATCATAACGATGGGTGATAAGAACAGAAACTTGATCGGGCGGCTGATTGAGATCCAGATAATCTGGCCAATCGTCTTGTCCAGGTCGTACTGAGTGCGAAACGGACGTCCAGTGTCTTTTTGGAGTCGCTTCGCCTTACGCTGGAGCAGAGTGGGTGCGTATGTCTCCCGCAAAAATATCAGGGAAGCAATCACGATGATACCGCCCTAATCATATTAGAGATTCGTCCAACACCACGGGGTCGAGCTCACTTACAAGAATCGCCTCTACCCAGATAGTCCAGCGCCATCCAATGTTTTGGACAATGTAACCACCATAAATAGGTCCTGTGACCATGCCCTAACGTAAATGTTAGATCCGCACATATGTATCCGCTGAATGGGTAGATTCAACTCACCATGAGTGGACCAACTGTCCAGATCGTCATTGCCGTCCCTCTCTTCTCCATGGGAATCATATCCGCAACGAAGCCTCCGCCGACCGTCACAGGCACAGAACTGGCTATTCCCATAACGAAGCGTGCCATTATGAGCATTGATATGTTCACACTGGCAGCGCAAACAACTGCAGCCAGTGCAAATAGTACATTGGCCAGGTGTGTCATGGGAAGCCTTCCACTTATCTCAGTGAGAGGTGTCAGCACCAGAGGGCCAAGAGCAGAACCCATCACGTAGATCGATATCATTAGAGATGAAATGGATGGGTTGTGAACATTGAACTCTTTCAGAACTTGCGGAACGCCGGGAGCGAAGACCGTGGATACCATGGATCTACAACAGTCAATTCAAATGCTCGGACGGATGCATAGTCTTAGCGTAGACGTGTTGGACTTACACATTGAAGCTGCTCAAAGATATCAGCCCGATAATGACCCATTTCCGCAAGGTGGTCCAGTTCATGGGGTTCTGGGGGTCGTTTGGCCCGTCCCAGTCCACAACGAGGTCGTCCTTGTCTTGGGGGTCGTCCGATTCCAATGCACCATCTTGTGATCTGATTTCTCCTTCTTCAACGTGCACAATGTCCTTCTCCACAAAGATCGTGTCAGCACTCTCCAGGCTAGTTTCCTGGCTCAGAGCGGCGGAGTAGTCAACATCCCCGGGTGGCGCCGTAGGCATGTTAATGATGGGGGTGGTTACACGGGGATAGTAAGAGCAGCTGGAAGATCAGGGACAATGGCACCAGATGATTTTCGACATGATTTCCAACAGACAACCAAGGCAATAAGTAGCTTGACAGCCACGCTGGGAAGACAGACAAACCAGGTAATTTGAGTAGATCATTGCAGACAACGCGCGTCCAGACAGTAGATGAGTCTGGCATTCCGGCCCTTGCTGTCCGGTCCGTGGGTCTCTCGTGGCTCCCTTTCTCTGATTTTGGGGATTACCTGTCGCAAAATTCGCCCAAGGCGGATTGTAGTGGATACAATAGGCGTAAGACGGATCATCTAACATAGGCAGGGGTAGTAGCACCGACGACTGTAATGGATTCCTTGCGTGACCAACTTGCCTCTGCTCCTTATCAACGTTTGCCCCATTGGGATGGAGAATAAGCCTTATCCCATAGAAACTATTCTCTGGGTAGCGCTTCAATATTCCCCACATGATCCACCATGGCGCAGAGGTCCCTGACCCGGTTCTCCATTTGTCATTCGCAGATCGACATATCACTTCAGGGATCAGGAACAGTAATCAGATCCCATAGGGTAACTGCTCCCGGGGAAACCTTTACAGTATGATCGCGTGGCTTGGGTCCCAAAATAGCTGAAATAAAACTGAAATTAATCCCATCTATTGTCGAATATATGCAGCCACAGTTCGAGACCAAATCCCGTATCCACTGAGGGGTGTCTCTAAGCATTCGCCGTTAATTAGGTGATCAACTAAAATATGGCCGAAATAGTCTCAAAGGTTGGGTCTACACAATTGGAGGAGTAATTCCGAAGAGACCAAATAGCTACTCTTTGCGCAGCTCCATGGGTGTGGTGATAGCAGTAGCGATGTTAAGCCTGAGTCTAGCTCCGCGCGGCCCTGAAACAGGCTTGTCAGAGGACTGAGCTCATACCTGAAGGCATCAGCCATGGCATGTTTTGGCCAAATATGTAGATCAACCATCCGGATTGGTAGTCCTAGCTCAGATCCAGAAATGCTTGGTGAAGACACCTCAGCAGATGATTCTCATAATAGTACAGTACTATTAGACGGAAGGCGGGAGATCTCCCGGTTGGCCCATCGGCTGGGGCATTGGACCCGGTCGTCCCAGTCAACGCTTCGGCATTCCTCCCAAGTCCAGTGTGTCCACTAACCGTCGCATATATGATCGCTCGTTGTGGCAAGTCAAAGGCGTGATACGGATCTTCAGGTCCACATCCTAGTTAACACATAGACCGAATACGCATATGGAGCTGCACCAAAATAGAGGTTGCTAGAAAGCTTATTGTCCGGCCGAGGTCAAGCGGTTAGAGTTTATCAGATTTCCGCAGCCCCGGGCTCAGTTCTAGCCCGACAGCATCGAAGTCTGGACAGTAGTCCTTAGGGATTCTACCCACTCTTAACGGCGATCTCCCTATGGGAGCCTAATCGATTGGTGACAGCTAGTGAGAATATTGCCTCGGGTGGGTTCGGGACCACGGGCTAGAAGCTTATTCAGATTCCGATATACCCAAAATTTGGGGTTATGTTCCGCTATGATGCGTTGATTTTGCTGCGGATATGCGGCGCTGCACGATTCCTTCCGTTGGTGTTCTCTTCGAAATCTCGCCTTATCAGCAGATGGAGATTGAGAACTGCAGGCAGCAGGTAGTCTCTCTATGCAATGTACATCCCGCCACTTGCTGCAGCCACAGTGGACCTTGCTACCCAGTAGCAAAGTGTAATTAGGGGTGGCGAGGCCGATTCTTGTGTGCCTATCTTGTAGGTCTCTGGCAGATTGTTAACTCCCGAGTCAGGATACCGAGTATTCGCCATAACTCACGAGGTCAAGGCCACGCAATGTTCTTTATCGGGAGAAGCAAAAGTCTCATGTGGATGGCACGAGGATTCAGCGAGAGACGGAAGTCTGCAGGACTGATGAAACTCGCATTCACGGAGACCGTCCCGTGATCCGTTCCTTCCTTGGTATGCAGACAACCTCCAAACATCCACCGTCTGGGATTTCAGCAGTTCGAGGTATATCTCAGCTCGGATTACGACTACCTCCCACTCTTTCTTTTCACTGCTAGTTACTGTTACCCGATTAGGGACACAGCATCAACGTGGATGGAGTCGCGGGTGATTGTCGGGTCGCACCCACAGAATGCTCTGTGAGACTGAGAAATGGCCCTTTCCATGTCAGAAACACGTTTCGACTAAATTGATCGACCTTACCCGGGCTGCTTCAATTCCGCTTAGTCTTCATTGGAGGAGCCAATTGCCAGTTCAATAACCTGCACGGTGCTGATAAGTTCTTCTCCGATCTATATACTATATATAGATGGTCCCGAGTCAGCCCGAAGATCAGCATGCGAGAGAGCTTCAACTGTGAGTACTGCTGTTTTCATGGCAGTTTATTTTCGTTGCTCAGTGATGATACTGAGCTATCAAGAAGTCAAACCATCACAGCACCAATGCTCGAGCTATACACAATTTTCAACCAGGTCTCCCGGCCTCAAATCATACAACCGCATCGCTGAAAGTTGAACATAGCCCGGGAGGGACTCAAAATCAAATAACAGAAATAAATGGCTTGAACTGTTATATATAATGGCTCATATACTGGCACTGTTTGTATCCAATCGTTCAACGTCAGATTATTGAAGTAAGAAGAAGCGTCAGGACTAGTAGATGACATGTCTACAACGCATCGTATTGGCAAAAGTGAGTCAAAACTTCTTCTTTTGCGGATGGAATTCTGACGTGTAATCCAGTGAGTCAGTTAGGCTTAACAAACCGGTCCCAAACCTGGGGCAGAACTCCTCCTAGTATCCAGACTCAAAGATGCCACCAAACCCTTATGCCATGATAATTTCTATGTACAAACCATGCGGTCATCGCCTCAAAATCTGCAAGCCGTCTCGTAGGAGCTGGAGTTGACCCGATAACGTCAAAATTTGATGTTCATTTTCATGTCATATTGTCACTCGTCTACGCGAAAATACGGGTTTCCGTGGTTATTTGAGCGCTTTGGCACGGAGATGACGGCTATACATGGGTCTATAATCTTCTCAGGCCGTACGCTCATACATCATCATGAGCTGGCCACTCACAGCGAGAAACATACTAAGTGTCTTTTCCAGAGCTTGTCGTGTCTATCCGTCTTCATATACCCACCGATACTACTACTTCCATCCACATTCCAGCACGATACCGAGAACAAAGCTCGCGATGGATCCACGCCCAACTCCTCTTCCCACACCACCTCCCTCACCCCAGCCTGGTCCTCAGCCGGGACCTCAGCCTGGACCCCAACCGGGACCCCAACCTGGACCTCAACCTGGACCTCAGCCGGGACCGCAGCCGGGACCGCAGCCAGGTCCTCAGCCAGGTCCTCAGCCAGGTCCTCAGCCAGGTCCGCAACCAACACCGCAGCCGCCCCAATCAGTTCAAACTGCATCTGAAATCAATTTCGATGAAGATATCTCGAGCCAGTCTGGCATCATCGGTCAAGATGCAGAGGCACAAGCAACCCCGGACCCCAACCCACCTCCGCCCACCTCAACCTCCACTCCAACCACGAACCCCAGTCAAATACTCACTGCAAAGTCTGCTGTGGCATCCGCAGCCAAAGAGCTACGCTTGATCCGCAAGATGTTCGAGCCCGAAGAAGGCGAGGCGTCTTCTAGTCGGGCGGTTCCTCCAGAGGAGCATGGCGGCAGCAGTAGCAGTGGCAGCAACGGGGACCCGTCCACTCTCTGGCGCGAGTTCGAGAATCTCGAAGTTCACGCCGCCAGAGGGGTGGAAATGGAGGTAGGGGTGTTGAAGAAACTCCTGAAGCAGTTGGAGATATTACTGGATAACGCGCGAAGCCAGTTGCTTGAACTGGAGGCGCAGAAAGCACTGTTGGAGACGTTGCTCGCGATCTCGAAGTATCGGGACGAGGTAGAGGTTTCAAGTTCGAAGAAGGGTTAAGGAGTACTACTTTACAACTTCACTACCTTCTAGTCACTCGCTCATTTGCTTAACGGCTATATTGTTTCTGGTTCACCTTGCTTATCATTCGTTTAGACCAAAACAGAGCCCGAAGAACTATACCCAACTATACCCAACTCGTTAAATTACTTGCTTAGCTGAATCTATTGCTATTTTCTATATACCATATCCCCAACAAATACACCCATACCCATCTAATTATCAAACGGCAACCCCGCCTCCTTCCTAACAGACCCATAAACCGCCGCCACATCCCCCTTCACGCCCTTCTCCTCCTTAACAGTAACCAAATGATGATCCGTAACCTCCACACTCCTCAACCTAACCCCCGCCTCCCCCGCCAAATTACTAGCATGTCTCAAATCCTTCCTCGCCAAATCCACCGCAAACAACGGCTCCTCCCTCCGACAATAATCTCCCGTGACCATGCGATCCGCATACAACGCAAACGGGCCGGGGAAAAACGTATGCAAGAACTGCTGATACACATCCGCCCCCAACCCAGTCTTCTCCGCCGTAACCAACCCCTCCGCCACAGTCTCCACGGTATTCAAGATAAACGTATTTCCGAGAATCTTCAGCGTCGTAGCACGACCCACATCCTCACCCGCCATGGAGATCGTCGCTTTGGAAGTAACCCCATCCAGGAAGGGCTTGATGCGCTCGATGGTGGCGGCGTCACCGGCGGGCACGACGACGAGTTGGCCCGCGATAGCGGCTGCGGGCGCGCCGAATACGGGACAGGCGATGAAGGAGGCGCCGTGCGAGGCGAGTTGGCTGTGGATCTTGCGCGAGGTGTCTGGGTGCACGGTGGAGCAGTCGACGATGATTTTGGAGGAGAGGGAGTCTGTGGGCAGGCCTGAGATGATGGCTTCCAGGGCGGCGTCGTCGCCGACGCAGATGAAGATTATGGTTGAGTCGGAGATGGCGGAGGAGAGGGTCGTGCTGACGGTGGCTTTGTCGGCGGGGAGGGTGGATGCGAAGGTGGTTGCTTTGCTGGTTGTGCGGTTGTAGAGGGTTATGGGGGCTGTTTGGGGACCTTTTTGGGCGATGTTGGCGGCCATGGCCTGGATTGGGTGGTTAGTTTCTGTGCAATTGAGGGTGGTGATGCAATGAGGGGCACATGGTGGGGGGAGACTTACGCGGCCGATGTTGCCCAGGCCGATCCAGGTGATGCGTTCGTTGGCCATTGTGGTGGTTGGGTTTGTGGTGAGAAGAGAGGAATTGGAAAGGATGGATGAATTGTGGGAATTGTTGTTAGCTTGGATAGTGAAGCTGGGGGGAAGAAGCTGGATTAAATACAGATGAATGAAGGAAGCAGGGCGAAACCGGATGCGATGCGGGGAGAGGGGTTCAATGTTTAGCCGTCATTCCACGGGTGGTTCTATTGGACACGGCAGTTTGAGTCAAGCTAACGGATGGAGACGGTTCAATGGAACTTCTTCATGATTGAGTGGAACTGGATAACATGCTAAGCTTCAGTGGACCAGCTTCGGTCAATTCGACAGCCCGAACAGTCGCGGTTCGCTATCTGTTCAATGCCGAAGACCGGATGGCCCCGCCCGCGGAGTCATCGCCAGTTAATTAACTATTAACTTAACTAGTAAGTAAGTAACGAGTCAACTAAGTACACCGTAGTTAGTTAGTTGTATCTTCGCCCAGATCAAATTCATCGCTTGCTTCAAATGCACTTTTGTTTTTCTTCTGTCCGACTCAAGGAAAGGAACGCCAATGACCAATGTCATGTCATTCATCTTCAACCGCGGATCCGAGTGTGAGGAGGCGCCCAGGGCTGGCTTAAGACCTCGAGAAGTTTCTCGTATGCGACGACGCGTCCATCTTTGAACGGCAGCTGTCCGGATACCTGCATGGCGCGCATGCGCATTGCATAGGATTCGTCGGTGTCGGCCATCACACGCAGCAGCGCATTGCCCAGCTCCTCCCCACTAACGCCCGGCGCCGACCTGCGGCTACCCCAGATGCCAATTCCCAGGTACTCAACCCGTGCAGCAAAGTCGTACGCGTCGAACCAGACAGGGAGCACGATCTGCGGAACCTCAGCCCTAGTGGATCTCGGTGTTAGCGCGAGTTGCATACCACCGCAGGTACCAACGAATGCATAGCCCTGCAACGAACTAAGTAAATAACTTACCTGACAGCCTCATGGAACGCATTGGCTCCGCCATAATTCACCACGCAACTGACATGTCCACTCATAAGAAGTGACATGGTTTCGAAGACAAAATGCTTCATAATGCGCATACGCTTTCCGTGTATGTACACCCCCAAAAGCTTGACGATCTCTCTAGTCACGGCAGGATCATCGACATGCTTGAGCTTCCAGAGGACCTGGATGTTGAGCTCTTGCTCGAGAAGCATGTTCAGGGCCTTGGCAATTTCAATTTGCTGTTTACCCTCGTAGGTGAAGCGGGCGTCCATCAGGACCAGCACAGTAGGACGCTTCGAAAGCCAATGCTCCAATTCAGGATCTTCCTTCACCATAGGGCGATAGCGGCGAAGAATTGGTCCACAGAGAGTCATGTGCTCAGGCACAATGAGTGGGAAGTCGGTCTCAGGCCAGGAAGGAATGATAACACGGCTACTCTTCTTTGCCTCGTGGGACATGAAAGGAAGAGGGCCCTCAATTCCGCGAGCCTCACGGGCCTCATTGAGCTCCTTGAGACTTTCGCATTTGTCAAGTTCATGCTTGAATCGAAAACCCAGGAAGAGGTTGCGAAGCTTGTCCCAGATAGACATAGGCATCTTGAAGCCAGAACAAATCCTACCACAGTCAGCAAACGATCCCCACAAGCCAGGCCAGAGAAAAACCACCCAAAAACTCACATGGGATACTTCATCAAATCACCCAACTTCCACTTCACCACATAATCCTTAACTCCACCCTTTCCCAACAGGACATGTCTCCAACGCAGGTACCGACAGACGTCGACAGCGGGAGCAAAAAGCGGATCGACGACGATCAAAACAGGGCCAAGGGTTTTCACAAGATCCACAACGCCATTAAAGATCTCAATATAATCCCTACCGGTCCAAGGCATCAAGCCCAGAGCCAAATCCGTGCGATAGTTCCTCAACGCAGCAAAGAAACCAATCTGCGGGATGTCATCAAACTGTCCATCTCTCATGCGAACATGTTTCATAGACATTCCAGGGATCTCCTCAAAAGCTGCCTCAGTAGCAAAGGGAGACTCCGAAGCCGCAGCATAGTAATTCAACTCTGAAACATGTCTCTTGAGCGGTCCAAATGATCCAATATGGATCTTGTAAGGCGTATTGCCAATGAGAAATTCGTGAGCTACGGCAAGGATAACGCTGGAATGCTCGCGCTCACTGTTTGTCAGGAATAAAATGCAGGGCGTGCTGTTTCTGATGTTGATGGCGGTGGTGGTGTCTATCGAGCCGTATCTATATCCGTAGGACATGATGGCGGCTCGGTAGTATGATTTTCTGATGAGTGGTAAGATGGGGGTAAGCTAAGTAGATATGAGAGGAGGAAACACAAGAAGAAAATGGGGAAGGAGAGGTAGAAAGTAGCACTTATCTTCCATGATTGGAGCCATGCATCGAAGGAAATTGGCTGCGTGCGTGTCTGTGCAAAGTGACTGTCTGGCGGGGTGAGGAAGTGAATCCAAAAACACGTGTTGACGGATTGAAGATGAGAGTATGTGAACTGTTGTCCTTCTGTCGTTACTATCCGCCTTTCTGATATGGCGGATGCGAACTCCCTCCGAACACCCTTGGAAGGCATTTCATACTGTTCTGGAACGTCTCCGCTTGTGCTTCTGCATGTCTCCGCTTTGCAGTGAACGAAAGGGTCTGGCAGTGAACGAAGGGTCTGCGGCTGGAGATCCGGTCTCTCACGGTCAGGAAGAGTGTTTGTGCTGGAATTGCTGCATACTTGGGGATGGTTTTCGTCTATGGTCTATGTCATTAACATTATTCTATGTCTCTATATAGAAGGTATATCAATGTGTAAACAGAACGCCGAGATAGTAAAATAGTCATGCGCCAATGCAAATTCATGACTTGGAAGATGAAGCCCATCGACCTCTTCATGGAGGTCATTATCAACCCCGCTCAAAAATAATGCCCTAGCCACCATGCTGTATCCATTTAGGCGATTCTCACGGCTCAGATGTCGTTTCCACGCGTACACGGCGAAGAGTACAGCTCTCTGCTGTAGGGCTCCATGTATAAGCTGCGGGCTTTACCAGCATATCGTTCTCTCGCGAACGTACCCAACCGCACTCCTAGTAACTGCATACAATGCACAAAATGGATATATAGCTAGGTGGATTGGCATCAGGTCTTTGGTGGTGCCCTGAGACTTTTGTGTGATATTGCCCCACAGGCTCAAGTGTGGAGTATGATTTCAGGCCTTGGTCGAATTCTTCCTAGGACGGCCGCTGATAGTAGAGTTGCACGTATTGACTCGATCAATATCGTACGGATTCTCCTCGTATGTGACTGTACGAGCAAGAGAGTGAGTGGATTTCTTGGAAGCACGCGACGCCCGCCGTTCCATTGCACCCCTAGAAGGCATACTGGAAAGGCTGTCACTGTCACTATCGTCGCTGATACCATTATCAGCTCCAGCGGCAGATTCCCCCTTCTCCACGTCAGACTTGGGTGGAGGTGCAGAGCTTTGCTGCGCCGCAGCAGCAAGTCTCTGCATGAACGCCTCTGCCTGGGCAGCATAGAGGCAGCGCTTGCGGATGCGGGCACCATACAGGTAGAAGACGATAGGGAAAGGAAGGCACGCAAGCGACAAAAACGCGGGGATTGAGGAAGCCCAATGGATTCCAAGGTTCTCGTACATGTAGGTCGTGAACAACGGGAACGCAAAGCCGAGCAAAGACCGGAGAGCCGAGTTCGCCGCCAGAACCGATGCGGCATAGATCGTGTATGCGTCAATGAGGTAGTTGAAAACACTCAGGAATACCAATACTAAGCCGAACCCGAATGGGGCACCTGCAGCCACAGATGCCATCCAGTGGATGGACGGGTAGTTGGTCCAGGCAAACCAGAAAAGGCCAATTGGTAGGGCAATCCCTCCAAGGATACTTGGAGGCAGACGAACCTCGGGCGGCAGACGGCCGTTGGCTTGTTGGCATTTCTTCGCATAATTTAGGTTGTCAGGAATAGTGAGAGCAACTGCAATCACCATTCCGACTAGGATACCCAAGAAGGCCAAGCCTCCAATACCCTCACTCCAACCGCGTGCCTCCTGAAAGACGATAGGATAAGCTGCAAACAGCATGTAAAGCGTTCCATAGATGATGGCCATGTAGATACAGAGAAGCAGCACAATGGGTTCTCTGAAGAGCATGAGCCAGGGTCGTGACAGGGCGGTCTTCAATGCTTGGCCTAGAGACACCTTGCCTCTCTCCATATCCAGTTTACTGCGGTAGACCTTGCCACTCAATTCAGACAGCTTTTCAGCCCGTCGGCGCAAGAGAACTGGTGCATATGTCTCCGGCAGGAAGAAGATAAGGCATAACCACATCACGCCGGAAAAGGCTGCCAGGAATCCTTCCACCCAGCGCCAGCCTGCTCCAGCGCCAAGGAAGCCACCGATGACGGGGCCAATAGTAGGTCCGCAAAGAGGTGCTGCAGCGAAGAGACTGATAGCGATACCACGTTTGGCAGCGGGAAACAAGTCTGCAATCGTTCCGCCCGCGTTGCCAAACGGTGAGGATCCGAAGAATCCGGCCAGGAAGCGAAGTATGACCAGCGTTTGAATGTTCTTTGAACCCGCAGCCCCTGCATTGAAAGCTGTGAGAAGCGCAAAGGTCACCGAGAAAACATTACGGCGTCCAAACACCTCGCTCATCGGAGCCCATAGTAGCGGGCCAAAGGCGAAGCCCAAAACGAATAGCGAGATACCGAGGATGGCAACCTCTTCCTCACATTGAAACTCTATAACAACCTGACTTATACTTCCCGAGTATGCTGATGACACCAGGGCGACAGTAAGGGTCACGAAGGAAACTAGAATAGTATATAGCCATTTTGAGAGGTTACCAAAAGCCATAGGGTTTCGAGGATCATTAGGAAGCCAGGTGACGACATAGGGCGATTCTTCTGTCCCTAACCCTTCGTAGTTAAAATTGATGATCTCCGGGGTGACGACTTTTTGGTCGAAGACAAGGCGCCAATAGGGGATCTTCGAGGGCCGAGGAGCGCCGCCATTGGCGACAGTGCCTGCCACGCCCATAGTGCCCGTTAATTAAGGTTCAGCACAACGGCTATTTGCAGCCCTGAGAATGGTTGCTGGGTGGTATGGAGATTGACACAATGTAAAAATGCTCTCTCAACCTTCTCAAGCAACTGCTAAACTGAGAAAAGAAATGACGAATAGACAAATAAATGTAAGACAACAAACATGGCATGAGATTAAACCGGCACGACTTTTCCGATTACAATTTCTTCATTCCTCCGGTTACTCGGCAGGGGCGATAGGCCTCAGCGAATCAGGAGTCGGAATGTGTTCTGGGAGCCGAGGTTGCTTCAGAATTTGCTGTGCCTGTCTTATCTCCGCCCAATATCCGCTGTTTCAGATTCTGGTCCTTCTCGTTGCTGCGGCTGCCTGACGAACTGTTTGTTTTGTTCGAGAAAGCGATAAGGCTACATCTTGGAGAGCTTTGGTGGTGGAAGATCAGGATCAGGTTGGCTGCGTTGAAGTATTGCTTCAGCTGCGTCCCTTATGCGTATAGCAGTTAGAGGAACGCCAGTCCGATTTAGAGCGTCGAGATCATTAATTAGAGAGTTATACTGAGCCTCAGTAAGCTTCAAATTCGCGGGGTGACGAGTCGATCTGGATGGTAATTCGTGAACTCTTCGTCGCAAGCGATAATAGCTAAGCCCAAACTCTCTTGCAGCCTTCCGTATGGATACAGGGTTTTCGGTGTCCTTTTTCTCATGGTAGTAGTCCGTAGACTCTTTGTATTGGTCTTCCTGGCTCTTGTAGACAGACGACATGATTCTTTGGTGTATTTCACGAGGATTGTTTGAATCGTTCTCTGGGAAATGCTTAATGCGATCCGACAAGCTGACGTGGTGCGCTGAGCTGTCAGCGTGGAGCGCATGCGGCAACAACGAATGGATTCGACATTGTAGACAATAATACAATATCTCTCACATTACCTGCACCTAAAGCGGAAGTGTATGTGAAAGATAATAGCACTTTTTGAGTTCAGCTTTCTGAATGTTATTTGAGAAGCAGAAGTAACCCAACTTCTTTGAACTTCAATCAACTACTGCGTCAGAGGTATATTTCTGTCTGAGATGTGCCAAAGGTGCAGTGCAGTCACACCATCTACTGAAGTTTTCTCAATCCCTGCAATCCTATATTCCCGGACATAAGAACGACATTTACTTCCAATGTTTCCAACCTCTAGAGAGACTTACAAATATTTGACCTGGCACATAAGAAAGCATTTGTGACTACTAAGTACTCTAATAGCTGATGTTGGCCTCGGCAGTTATACTATGAACACAAGGTTGGTTCATGGACGAAAAAGTTTGGTTTACAAGCATACTTAGTATATACATACAAAGCTGGAGTACTGTATTGATAGACTCATCACTCCCTTCAGAGAAAGCTGTATAGATGTCGATCATTTCATTTGAATGGGTTACATTCCTTCTTTCACATATAAAACTGTCGTCAAGAGGGTCCGACTGATTAATAAAACAAGCTTGCAGGGATTAAGGGACTCAGGTGGGGACGCTACGCGCTCCCAGCAAAAGAGGTATTAAGATTGACCAATCGGCAAAATTTCTTGACATGCCCGGCAGCTTAGGTCAGTATGCGATAAAGATTAGTAGTAGAAGTTGGAGACAAAGAAAACAAAACGTTGTATATGAATGGCTTGCGCCTGTAACTGATCATGATGTTTATGTGGTCTGGATCGAGAGAATGTATAGAATCCAGAGGTAAGCTAACAGCAAAAGGGTGTCCCATTTTCGCTTGCGCCTTATGAAGTCAAAAAGCAAGGGTTCGAATGTCAACTGACAAGTACATGCACATGACCATGGTTACCTACGGAGTAGTCGGCTCGGACACAGGACCTTGGCATTGCTTTTGAATGCATACCCTGCAAAAGAAACGCTATAGACAAAAGACATACAAACATGCGCGTAGACCGAGATTTCGGCCTCCATATCACTGACATGTCTATCCGTGAAAACCGCTATCTGAGAGTCGGGGTTATAACTACAGCTTTATAATAATTCTGCTGTTCCTCCTGTGACTTTTCCAGGGTCCGGAGTAAGCGAACAGCGCGTATATGTAATTCTAGCCATCTGTTAGTGTGCGAATGTAAACAAGAGAACCAGAGACCACCATACCTTCAATCAACAATTCATAGCTCGTGAATTGGTCGTCGTCGCGATGGATGAGAATTGGCACATTTTGATTCATTAGCGGTTTTGCCTTGACCCGTACTTTGATCCCGACACTCTTGCTCTGATCAACCCATAGCATTTGCGAAGGCTCTGTACCATCTGGTACGAATTCACGGATTCGCTTCTCTTCGTCTCTCAGCCAGTCGCGGAATACCCTGATTACCCCGTCCTCGACCGTGTGTGCACTTAGGAGCAGATTTGTACCCGGCATGACCTTCACTATATTTACGACCACACATAGCTGAGAGAAGTCTTCAAAGCTCTCGAGGTTGATAGGGCGCGAGACAACCAAGTTGTCTCGGTCGGGGTCTTGCTCATCGTCTACCAAAATCAGAGACCTCGGGTCGTGATCGCTGCATCCGGGAACAGGGGCGCATACCTCTTAGGGGTACTAGCCTTGTTCCGCTCGATCTTTCTTCTACCGCGACTTCAGGGCGGAACCGAGCATACACCGAACTCAGTCTTCCCAGTTGCTGGGCCGTGTCGGAATTCTCATAAAGCGAACCACTCCTCCCGTTAAGTTGATCTAAACCATCGGTGTCAAGGTATGTGCAGAATACATGAGGCACCTTAAGCTTTTCGCTCGGGTGAAAGCATTCTAGGATGAGTTTATAGTCATGCAAAGGAGCGCCGATGAGCAGACGATAATGTAGGATCCGCAGGACGAGGGCGTGGAAGCGGCGGGAGACTGTCGCCCAAGAGATGAGGGATCGTGTCGAGAAGGAGGATAGAATCTGAGCGAGGACCTAAAATATCCATAGAAGCATTAGCGAGGCATTTTCTCAATGATTGGAGATCGCATTATCGCACTTCGTTGGGAAGGGAGTAGAAATGGAGCTTTGAATGGCCGTCGTCCATGATCTGATCAACTGCGGGGAATATGTGTGAATCTCATATCTTCGCTCAAGCAACAAATGAACAGAACACGGTTCGTACACAGCAGGAACAGCAGTTCAGTGGAGCCCAACTCAGGAGGGAAGTGACGTGACAAGGGTCAGATGATGCCAGCGCGAGCTTCTCCGGGGATGTGGAGGTTCGGTGATAACGGGCGATAAGGCTAGCCAGTGCCCCTCGTTCCCCCTGACGTCAAACAAATCGGCCCGAACGAAGGCGGGCAGCTGACTGTCTGGATTCGGGTAGCCGCGGGGAGAAAGAAAAGAAACGAGAGTCATTTCTCGGCCCACCACCGCGTTGGTTTTAGTCAATAGTGGAGTATGCTTTATGTCGAATTCAACCGGTAGACATGCTGTACAGGTCGGTTGATTTATGAAATCTTGTTATAAAATGATCTATAAAAATGCAAAAATCCAAAGATATGGACTCATACTCTAAACACACGGATAAAAGATTGTAGCAGACAGACACCATCATGTTTGCAGTTGCAATTGCAGCAGCAAGAAAAGGGTCCAGGGCCTCCCCATGAATTTACCCGAGCAGCCGACCGGATGGCAGCTTTACCCCGTGCTGGTTCGGTGCCGAATCGCCATAATTTCCGGAGACCCCGCGACTAAGCCCCGCCGCCAGGGCCATCAGCCAACTTTTCTTTTCACGCAGTTTCTTCGCTCTTCTTCTCCTCTTTCTTTTCCCTTTCCTCTTGTAACAAGGCTGCATCTTACTTGCATAGACTATATACATTTATCTCAACAATGGTTGAAAACGTTCTGGATGATATCTCTCATCGGAGATTCAATCCTCTTCGAGGATCCTACATTCTGGTCTCCCCGCATCGGACCAAGCGCCCCTGGCAGTAAGTTGGCCTGCTTCTGTCCAGCAGAAATAGGCATGGACCCATTAGAAGAGGAGCAGTTGAGCTAAATGCTGCGACCAGAGGACAGCAGGAGAGCCCCTCTAAAACTACCTTGCCAACCTACGACCCCGCTTGCTATCTCTGCCCCGGAAACAAGCGCGCGCAGGGCGATACCAACCCCAAATATGAGAAAACATTCGTCTTCGTAAACGACTACAGTGCGGTCAAGGAAGAACAAGCGCCGTATACCCCGGAAGGTGGCGAGGGTATGTTTGACTTGTAATCTCAGGCTCAACGAATGCGATACTAACAAAACCGGGGAGCAGACCTTGAATCATTCTTCCTCAAGGCAGAGCCCGTCACCGGTAAATGCTACGTGCTTACCTTCTCTGCGGCCCACAATCTCACCTTGGCCGATCTTTCGCCTGCCGAGATCGCGCCTGTTATTGACGCTTGGACTGAGATCTACACTGCCCATTTATCCCCAAAGTCGCCATTGGCTGCTGTAGCTCCAGCGACTACCCTGCCTCCTAACTCCCCGACTGCTAGCTTGACCAAGCCTAAGGAGCAGTATCGCTACATGCAGATCTTCGAGAACAAGGGTGCCGCCATGGGGTGCTCAAACCCTCACCCCCACGGTCAGGTCTGGACCACCAGCTCTTTGCCCGAAGAACCGGCCATGGAACTCGAGCAGCTGAAGAAGTACCGCCGGGAGAATGGTGGCAAGCACATGTTGGAAGCTTATGCTGCTCTCGAAAGCCGGAAACAGGAGCGCGTGGTATTTGAGAACGATGCCTTCCTTGTTGTCTGCCCCTGGTGGGCTGTTTGGCCTTTCGAGACCATGATTGTCAGCAAGACCCACAAGCGCGCCCTGGTCGACCTAAATAGCAGCGAAAAGCTGCAGCTGGCGGAAGCCATTGCCGAAGTCACCAGACGGTACGACAACCTGTTCGAAACGCACTTCCCGTACAGCATGGGTATCCACCAGGCACCACTTGACGGAACCGAGGAGGAAATCGAGTCGTCATATCTTCACCTTCACTTCTATCCCCCGCTATTGCGCAGCGCCACTGTGCGCAAATTTTTGGTCGGGTGAGTGGTTTTCAGCTATCACGTTACGGTAAAAATTTGCTGATGAGTTATAGGTATGAAATGATGGGCGAGCCCCAGCGTGACATTACACCCGAGCAAGCGGCCTCGAGGTTGCGAGGCTGCGGAGGAGAGCTCTACAGGAAGAAGATGGACTAAGAACAGAGAATATTGGATTAAACTGGATTGGATGTTGTATACCTATGTGTTCTGACAGCAATGAATACCTGCGTTCGTGGGTCCATCGGACCAGTCCCGGCCGGCTTCTGTGTTTCGGATCTGTATCGACTCCTGTCATACCCCTGCGAGAAAGGGAGCTAATCGGATATGCGTGTCTCAATCACCCACGCGCCATTAATGACTTGCACCCTTACTTCAGCTCAGCCTCTATCCCTTGCCAGCTCCTGCGTCATCATGATCGTCCTTTTCGATTTCCCCACAGCTCAGCTACACACTCCGTAGCATAACTCCGATCAGTGAACTGCTATGGAGCGGCTGAGCTGTGCGCTCGGCGTAACTTTACCTGTCTAGTATTAACCTTAGGAGGTGAAACATGATTCACCTCTGAGAGCACTGAAAGAATCGCCCAATCTCGATCTAACGAACTTTGCTTTGCCTTCTACATGCGCTGACAGTAGCACATGGGGGACTGTCAGCCAGAACCGACATTTTACATAATCATCATACGTAGAATAAGCGAATTAGACTCCGTGCATTGACCGATAATTGATCTTCACATCTATTACTTTGCCTTTTCATTACATTATTGATATGATCATAACCTAGCCGATCCATAGCTTGTCCCTGCGCTAAGAAATAGAGCATGCATCGAAAAGCAACCAGCCGCAAATCCGGCAAATTATAATTGAGATCCAGCCCAACCTAAGCAGCCAGATACGCCTCCCTCTGCGTCAACATCCAAGCCAGCGTGGACGAAGCAACAATCAAAGGGCTAACGAAACGACCCTTAAGCTGCGCACTACCGAAGCCCAACCACTCGCCGACAAAGTGTGCCAGGGCAATGCCAAAAGTCCAGAGCGCGAGATCATAGACAGCCGGGTTGTTGAGGTTGTAGGCGGCGTAAATGCGGACTACGGAGGAAAGGAAAGTCCATGTGCCGAAAGTCCGAGAAGAGAGGGGGTTGGTGTGCGGGCGACCTTCAGCAGTTTTTCCGTTGTAGAGATCTGCGGCATAGGACTCCGATCGGTAGGCTTGGATGCTGTTTGCGGCGGAGACGACGGAGACCTGAATGGAGTAAAGTGGTCAGGTTAGCATGGGGTCGGTCCGGGGAACGGAAGTGTAGTTGTAAACAAATGGGGGTTGTTACCAAGAAGAGCCATTTGGGCAGCAGACCCTCGAAGGGGGGAAGGTAGGAGAGAAGAGCGGCCATGATTACTATGCGAAGTTGTACTCCGGAGAGTTTGACAGAATTGGCTGCAGAGAGATAGAGTTGTGGAGGATCAATTGGTTGGGAAAGACTGATAATTGCGATGAGGATATTGCTTCTTTGGAGTGGCCGAGGTCTGTCCGCTTGGGGGGTCTTGGCACCGCTCATCCCCAACCATTATTCTGCCTTTATGATTGCTGCCGCATCTCCGTCCGTCTCCGGATTCTTTCTGCAGTCAGCTTCCATCCCCACAATCTTCAATCGCCACGGGTTGAACAACAAGCAATCATGGAGTTTCTGACCAAGCATCTGGACTGTCTGTCCAACTTCCAGTTGAACCTGCAGCCTGGCTGGCAGACCGTGGGCGCCTCGGCTCTTCTCGCCGCTGGCAGCTTGTTCGTCGTCTCTCGCGCACTCGTTTTCGTCAGGGTCCTCCTGAGCTTGTTTGTGCTCCCTGGCAAGCCTGTATGTTGTCCCTCACAATATCAATTGAAGACTATGTCGCTGACTTTCATTCTTCCAGCTCCGCTCCTTCGGCCCTAAGGGCAGCTGGGCCGTGGTCACAGGTGCCTCCGATGGACTCGGCAAGGAATTCGCTCTTCAGCTCGCCCGCGCTGATTTCAACATCCTCCTCGTTTCCCGTACCGCTTCCAAGCTTGACACCCTTTCCAATGAGATCACATCCAAATTCCCCTCCGTGCAGACCAAGACCCTGGCGATGGACTTCGCCCAGAACGACGACAGCGACTACGAGAAGCTGAAGGAACTGGTGGACGGATTGGACGTGTCCGTTCTGGTCAACAACGTTGGAAAGAGTCACAGCATCCCTACCCCCTTCGCTCTGACCCCCGAGGATGAGATGACTGATATCGTGACCATCAACTGCCTGGGTACCTTGCGGGCAACCCAGCTGGTTGTTCCGGGTATGATGCAGCGCAAGCGCGGATTGGTCCTGACTATGGGCTCGTTCGGTGGACTTCTCCCTACCCCTCTTCTGGCTACCTACTCCGGCAGCAAGGCTTTCCTGCAGCAATGGTCCACTTCCCTTGGTTCGGAGCTCGAGCCCTACGGAATTACTGTCGAGTTGGTCCAGGCCTACCTTATTACCTCTGCTATGTCCAAGATCCGCCGGACTAGTGCTACGATCCCCGACCCCCGCTCATTCGTGAAGTCGGTCTTGACTAAGATTGGCCGCAATGGCGGATCTCCCACGTACGCGTACAGCTCTTCCCCCTACTGGAGCCACGGATTGATGGCCTGGTTCTTGACCTGCGTTACCGGGACCATGGGCAAGATTGTCGTTGGCCAGAACAAGGGCATGCACGAGTCTATCCGGAAGCGTGCTCTGCGCAAGGCCGAGCGCGAGAAGGGCAAGAAGAGCACCTAAAGTGCTTGGCAGTCGCTTCTAGATGATGACTCACGTGCGTTTGCCGATCAACCTGGGGTAAGGGGGAGAGATAAAGAAAGGAACGAAAATGGAAGTATGGAGAAGAACGAGCCGGTGGGGGAGAGTGTCTGTGTGTGAACTGAACCCTGAGCTTGAGCTGAATCTGAATCCACTGGGGGACGTGTGGCGAACGAAGAGTCTCGGAGTTCGGTGAAAGGTGCATGCAGCTATGGAGCCAGATCGAAGACCGTCCAGATAGGAGCGGGCCGCATCTTATCTTCAACGGAGGGCACAGGTCCGGATGGACCTTACCTTTTACAAAGTACTCTACTAACCTACACGTGGTGTGTGGTGTCTGTCGACAGGGCCAATCAAACCTCTGACCAGGGGGTTGGTGACTACGCAATCCATGATCGACAGCACCAAAGATGATACGATATACTATGTTTAGCAGAAACAGATAGCATAAAGTACGGATTAATCTAATAATGTGGAAGGAGAAGATCCTCGCTTCGCAGTTACCTCGGTGCTCCTTATTCTACTATCTAAAGTATAGTCTCCGCTAAATCTGTCAAATATGCGCACTACAGAGCATGGCCCAGTGCAAAGCAATGCAATGCTGTGCAGATATGCAAATATCCACCGAGATCTCGGAGTTCGGAATCTGCACATCCCAAAGCATAACTGACCTGAACTCAATCGGGCTGGACCAGATGGATGGGGGCCATCCGTCCTAATCTTGGGACCACCGTCGGTGAATAAATCTTGTGTCTGTGTCTCGGTTCTCTCTTTCTCTGATGACTTGCAGATAAGGGTGAAGAGGGACCCTGTGGGACTGCGACTGTGCTACACTACCGAACTGAGGAGAATTTCCTGCATGGATAGTGCAGTACTAGGAGTAACTAGGTTTCTTCACTCGGAGAATAGAATGGCGTGCGAGAAAACCTCCGTAGGGGGAGGAGACTCGGAGAGGAGAGGAGTCTTATATATAGAACAGCTTAGGTGGTCCTGGAACGTGGTACAGACTATCAGATAGATAGTAGATCACCTTCCACTTCTGCTCTTGATACATAGTATTCATTGAAGCTTAGCCAGGCACGTTGGCTGTCAAGATTAGTAGTCTAGTTGGTTCCAAGGTTTTAGAGGTAAATACGTAGATAGAAGCAGTCCAAAAGTGACCAGAAGACGAAGAGAGAGAGAAAAGTCGAATGATATCATGATCCTCAGCTTGCGGCTCTCTTTGCCAAGTACTTAGCTTAGTAGAGTAGTCTAATGGACATCTACCCATACAATAATACCAACCCAACATAACATCCATTCCACATACACCACACCACATGACACAATCCCTCTCATCCAACCTCATGACCCTATTCAAGCTTCCCACTATCGCCACCACCAGCAAGAAAGAACAACAACTAGCCCTGGCAACGTCCCATCGCACCGTCACCTCCAAACTCTTCACGAAATCCAACTACTCTACCTACTCCTCTTAGTAATAACCCAAACCCACCGCTCTCTCCCCTATCATAGGCCAAATTCCACCCAAAGATTCCATGCATGGGTCGACCCCTGTTCCTGAAAAATCTAGACCCTAGCAAGAAAAAACAGAGAGCTGGTACGACTTACGGTGGCCACTACTCTCGTTCCCAATCCAGCTAGCAGCTCCCGAAGCAGCATCATGCAGCAGAAAATAAAACAACCTACCCGCCGTCACACAACATATTGCAACATCCCATCCCATCCCGCTGTGGCTAAATGTATGTAGTACTACTATTATGGTTTTAAATTCGCGGGTGTACTCTTTTCCATTATTTTTTTGCTCTGTTGGAGACAAGTAAGTAGGTAGGCAGTAGATCTGGGATGAGGCAATTACGTCAGGTGTGGTGTGTTGTCCTGAGGTGGTGAAACGCTGGCTGGTGGAACCTGCTACCTACGCTGTTTACTTACCTTTCTTGGGAGGAGAATTTTTTTTTTCTGTTGAGTATGGATAGTGGGACGGACGGGATGGGTCGAAGAAAAATTTCTTTTCTTTCTCTGGTTAGGTTAATTTAGGTTAGGTTTGGGTATCGACCGGGTTGGTTGGTTGGTTGGTTGGTTGGCTTTGTCTCGGGCTCGGTGAGTGGGTTGCGTGATGCTCTTTGTGTCTCTCGCTTTCGGGATACTACGTAGGCTGAATGAGCCGGGATTGTGTGGTCGGGTTGCATTGTTACTCTAGTTATTGTTTTTATATTTTACTCTGGGAGTGCACATAATGTTCTTGTTATGTCCTGAGGATGTTACTGATATTTTGTCTGAATCTACAATGTGAGCTTGAGGGCAGACAGCAAGCGACGTCTCTCTCTTGCGGCATTACGGCATGCCGAACCCGACCTAACGGAGGAGAGTGAAACCTCACCGGAAGCCGAAAAGGTCATCGATTGCAGGCCGGTCAAGTTCCGACCGAATCCATGGTAAGAGAGGGAGATCTCTGATAGGCTGGGTGGTTCGAGTCAGGCTATATGAGCTCCAGCTGAAGCTGGACCTGAGCACCGACGTGCACGAGGGGTTGTGGTTGGATGAAAATTTTCGCTGGTGGAGAGGATCAGCCAACGCTAAACAGAAGATCCACAGGCCCGGTGAGCTTCAAACGGGAAGGGACAAGAAGTGGTGCGTAGTTAGCGTGAGATATCGGCACACCGAAGGCAGTTGGATGGACAGGCATCCCGAGACCGAGACGGTCGGCGGTGGCCGAAGTGCTCGGGATGGACGACGGTGAGACTGGAAGTGGTCTCGGTGAGCAGGGTTGGCCGCTTAGGTGTCATGTACTTATCAGCGATGGTCGCTGCTTATGATGATATTTAGATTGATGGTTAAAATTTCTCCCTCTTGCATCTGCATTGTCGGAAGAGATTATACTTCCCACCCTCCTTCATTTTCTTCCCCCATCCCTTTGCCCGCTGACGGTCGGGCAAAAAGTGAGAAAGCATGTGTTCGTGAGAGTTCGGGATCGGCCAAGAGCCAAGAGGGGATTATCTCAACGCATGCAGAGTCAAAATTAGAATTTTTTAAAAGAAATTTTTTTTTTCGTGGTTAGACCCACTTGGCGCCCGGTGATCTCCCTCGTTTGGGCCTGAGATTGCGTCGGAACCGGCAACTTTACTACGACTGAGCTCTTTTTTCGGTGGCTCAGGGGCTGATCTGAAGGAAGGGAGAGGAAAAAATTTTCCTGCTGAATTTGACAGACAGGTAATGGAAACGAAGAAGATTCCAGGAACGTAGTGGATCATTAATGAATGCTCGTCAACAATGCTTTGTTCAGCAGGCGGGCTGAGGTTCCAGGAGGGTTCTGACTAAGGGTGTTGCATGGCTGCGGGAGGCAGGGCGATAGTAATATTAGACCGCGTTAATATTATGCAGGCGTGGCTTTTCTTACTGCACCCGGCCATCACTTGAATCAAGGGAGGGTGGAGATCAGCCCATGTCGCCCCCCTCCTTCCAAACAAACAAATCATTCATTCATTTCGTCAAGATACTTCCCTTCCCTTCCATTCTGTGACACGGAATGGCCGGAGACAGCGATGTTTTAGCCACTGGGATTGCAGTATGTGATGGTCTCGGGTAACGTCAACATGTC